AATTTTCACAGATAAGGAATTACAAAATCCTAGATGGCTAGAGAGCTTAAGCCCAACTTTGGGGTCAGCTGCTAATTACTGAAACATCAGCATGTTGATTCTTGGAGATTGCTCCCAGAGGGAAAAACAGTGTGTAAGCCCAGCAAAACCTGAATAGCAAAAGTCTCAGAGAACAAGATGACTGTTATGAATATGTTAGCAGGTGCAGCAGATCTAATTGGTATATCATCTAAAAGCCCAGCAAACTATTTTCTTCTTAGGCATGCCAAAACACAAAAGCAAAACCTGGTAGGTTTTGTGCATCTATGCTTCATAATTCACAGGTGCTAAGGAACAGAATTCTGTCAATGCAACTGCCTGAGTCTTGGAAACAGAACTAAGAACAGAAAAGGCTTCATAGTAATTTCTTAGGAATGAGATCATGATACAATGTGCAGGAAAATGCTGGAAAATTTGGTTCATGGTACCAGTTACCCTTAAGAAATGACAATTTGTGCTCAATGTCCTGTATACTTGTCTGGCAGATAATAGAAGAAACTGAAAAGTTATGTTACATTTGAGTAAGTCTGCATGGCCGTCTTAGGTCTGGATGAGCTTGTAACCGCAAGCAATTTTAGTTTAGCTTTAAATGCCAGCACCAGTTTTCAGCTCATTTTGCTCTCTGGAACTTTCAGGGATCACTTGGCCCTTAAAAGCTCAAACAAGGTCATATCTGATGAATACACACATAGTCAAACGCAATACACTGTTGCCCATGAAAAGACCCTTTCTCCTGATTCTAGGGAGGACTTTCCAATTGGGTGCTCAAGTTGTGTGGAAGACATCCCTCCAGCCTGCTTTGACTTCTTGAATACTAGTGGATGTTGCTACTAGGGTTTTCGAGAGACACGTGGGGTCTTTTAAGGGTCCAGCTCTGTTTCACAATCTCAGCGATGCTCTCTGTTCTTTCAGTGACTGCAAGACTTGCCAGTCTATGGAGGGCTATTTTTTGTCTGTCAGCCCAAAGAACTTTCCATATGGCTTCACTTGAGGTATCACTCTGCTCTCGTCCAATGCCTCTATCAACACTCTTCTACAAAGGGCAGCAGAGGGTATGGAAAATGCTTATCGTTCGCCAGTCTTTGGGATGCAGACTCCACTCCTTGGGCAGCACTTGTGGAAGGGTCTGTCTTCTGCAGGACTGCTTTGCTGTCATTTATAAGTTCCTGACCTAACTAGGAAGACGCTACCATGTTCAAATGCACTTACGTGATAATTGATGCAAGACTATACCTCTGGATCCCTCAAATATGGCCTATTCCATCTGTTTCTCCTGATCGTATCACAAAGGTCATGGCTATACTGTGTTTGCAAAATACACCCCAACACTATTAGGAAAACTTGTTAGCCTACCTGATCCTAATCTCAAAGTTCATACATAGAGATGAAGGTAGGTGATACCATCGTAGTCTTCTACATCCACAAAGAAAATTGTGTGTGGTCCTTTCAGAGCGTTCAGAGATGGTCAATCTCCAGTTTTAAAGCAGCAGTGAATGCTGCAATCATTACCTATTGTAGGATCAAACCAGCATTATGCAGATCAGTTCTTCACTACCATAAGCTATACGAGTGAATTATTCTTTGTGAGTGTCGTAATAAGAGTAATCTGTCTTAAGATTTCATCTGCTTCCTTTAATGACAGAAAAATTCTCATGTTCGTATTTGGAATTCAGTTTTAAACACATCATCTGCTGCATCCTACCAGAAGTGCTCATTTTAGATTTTGTCTGGGTAGATTATCAAGCAGCCGATCACCTTGTGGCACAGATGACTGATGGCAGGAAGAGCCATGAGTCTAACTGTAAAATGCCAGTATACAGTTTTTGCTTGACAACTGAACAGATTCTTGTACTCATTTGCTAATATTCTAAATGGGGCTAGTGAGGTGTGGTGGTCTGATGAATTACAAACTTATGACTTGTTTATAGGAAAAAGGTGACAAGTTAGAAAATAACTGTTGAACAATTCTTCAAGGCTTTTTTTTTTTTTTTTTTTTTTAATTACCTTTGTTTTCCATCTACTTTTTGTTTTTAAGGGTTTTCAAAATCTGTGCCAGCTTGTTCCGTCCAGAAGCTTCAGGAGCATAGGATAAATAGCAGTAGGGAATGACCTCTGTGGCTGCCTCAGCCTCTGAAAAGGCTGCAGCATCACCGGAAGCTCAAAAAGTCCTCACCCAGAAATGTGAACTAGTTTCACTTCCTTTCCCCTCTCCTTGCAAATACGTGGCAGAGCATGTGGAAACCCGCTATTTGTAGTACATGCTGTGCTTTATATCCCTACGGTATCTTCAACGTAAGCTGACCATTCTCAAGATGACAATAAACCCAGTCAATTGGTTGTCCACACATTACGTTGCCCAAATAGAAGATTCTCTTTTGAGCAACTCATCTGCAAAATGCTTGTTTTTTGTAAAAAGAGCCACTACTGACTCTTCACAAACAATCTTAACTGATATTAAGATATCAGGGTATCTGTCAAGACATAACAGGATATATCAAGATCTGGGCACCAAGTTGAAAAGCTGTTTTCTGTGGGGAAACAGAGTAATTCCCTGCCAGAGGAGCAGTTGCTGCTAAGAAATCCTACTCCAGTAGCATTTAGAAGATAAAAGTTTCGTGTTCTGAAGTGGAAAAACTCTGTGATCTATAATGAAGTCCTCCAAATTGACAGAAATGTTAGAGTGCACTTTGCAGCACTATACAGGAAGTCCCAAGACTAATTAGTTTCTCTTTTTTACACAATTGCATTTTCAGAAATTGTTCCTGCTGTCACAGCTGGCCTTGGGACTATTTACATATTTTTTCCACGCATTTGGGCCATCATTCATGTTCAGAGATAGCTATATTCCTTGCACACAAATAGCAAAGGAAATTATCACAATCTGAGCAGTTTTGACTCGTGAGGCTTATTTTCATTATAGTAGGGATAGCAAAACATTTCCAAGGATAGACTTTTTTTCTGCTTAATTGTGGGATCAGCAATGGTCATATTCAGAACTTTTTAATTTTAACTTTTGACTCTTCTTGTTTACCTCTTTTAAAACCTCCATTATATGCTCTTCATGGTATTAATTCATAGTTTATGTGGCAGTTTGTTAATATTTTCAAGATACATTTTAATTGACCTGAAGTTGTCAAGTATCCTTTGCAGGATGATGGTGTGAAAATTATGTTCTGAGTTATTTTCCTGCAAGAATACCTACCATACAATCTAGAGGAACACATGAAGAAAAAAGAAAACCTGTTTTTTGTGCCCTCTCATACCAAATTTAAAAAAGGATAGGAAAGGATGCCTTACTAACTTCCTAGTTACCTTTTTGAAGGTAACCAGTTCTCTGTGAAGTAGATGGTTCAGGAGAGCTTTTCAGATCTAAGCAATGGATGCTCAGTGTCATTTCAGTGAAAAAAATCTAGATCATTAATTTTTTCCCTTCTCCATAAATTCATCCTTTTCTATCAATGAGTATGATAAAATTTATATTAAGAATATCACTACTTCTAACCCCTAGACAATCGCACACTTTCCCTTCCTGCCTTTTTTTTTTTTCTTTAAGATTCTTTCTCGTTCCCCTCTCATTTCTTCTTTGTTTTTGTTTCTGTTGCTCTCATAACCTGTTCCTTTTCCATCGTCTTACTTTTTCTAGCCTCCTTGAAGAATGCATCACACCCTTTCAGGCTAACCCCCAGGGCACAATGCTCTTCATAAAGCACAACTCCTGATGACATCTGCCCAGGCTACAACTGGATATTATAGCCTCCTTTTTCTTTCTAGCTGGAATCCTGTTCTCCTGCTGGCTCCAATCCCAAAGAACATCAGGGAGGTCCTCTTTGGTAAACACGGAAAAACCCTGAGGCCTTACCACTATGCAGGCTCATTTTAAACCCTTTATAGAAGAAAAAAAAGTACCGATCCACTTTGAATTGAAATTTAACTGTGCTTTATTTCATTTTTCAATCTTAGAGGATAGGGAGCTTTTCTGAGCAAATTGAGAGAATAGAATATTGTATGTCTCTTGGTATCCCACAAGCTGTGCAATGACTATATAATACTTGAAATCTCTTAGCAATTTAAGGCTTTGAAATTCAAATACTACTCACTTCTACAGAATCCTGAATTATAAAGTGGCCCAGTGTCACACTGAGATGGTCTGCTTTGCTGGGGCGGTTAACATCTAAACAGAGAAAATAACCTGAGCTGACCAATGAAACCCAGTCAGACTTTGCTTATGTACAGAAGCGTGAACGCTTCCAGAAATTTTTGTCTAAACTGAGGCTTAACTTCCCAGTGAGAGGCTTTGATGTTGCAGTGAAAAGCACAGAAGGTGAGAGGGTTATGTGTCAGAGCCGGGAGGGATCATTTAGACAGGAAGAGATTTATAAAGTTTTCATCAGTATCTGAAACAATCTTTCAAAATGTTTGAAACGTTCAGGTCTGATAAGCTGCTTGTCTTACAACACGGGGGGGAAAAAAGGCAAAAAATTATTCTTATGCTTGGGATTAGGCCACAGCACCAGGAGTTGCATGGCATCCCAAGCAGGTTTTGCACCTTGTGTCAGCCTGGCTTTGTTTTTGTTTGCTGGCACTTACTGCTTTCAGTAATATCCTGATAGCAACGCAGGGAGGTCCTAGACCTTAGTTAGGGCTCCTAATCAGTACAGTCACAGAAATTTTCAAACTTAAACACTGAAACATGCTGTCACCAAGATATATATGCAAGTGAGTAAGTAAAACTGGCATCTAAATCTCCTTTTCCATCAGTATTATTTTATTACTATGCAAGTCAACCCACTTAAGATTTATGAAAATGAAGGCAGCAACTCCACCCCGCTGCAGATCCACTGAACGAGACGGAAAGTAAAGGCAGACATTCACATGCCCATGGGCACCGAACAGCGCTGTTTCCTGGGAGCTACCCCACATGATTTCAGGTGCGAGAGACCTGGGCTGCTTAGGACACGTACCTGGCTGTAGCTCTGGATGGCACCTCTGGCCTGACTGCTGCGGGCCGGGAGCTGGGCAGCTGCTGTTTCGCCCAGGGCGAGGGTCTGGTTGCTGTGGTAGCTGGCCGAGTACTGGAAGGACCCTTCAGGTTTGGAATTGAGCTGGAGCGCGCTCTGGGAGAGGAGGCTGGGCCCTGCAGGGACAGGATTCAGGACCAGTCAGAAAGTCTCAGTGAAAGAGCATACCTGCATTATCTGTCGAGTCAGCCCAGAAATTATCAGATGTATGTGGCTTCAGCTTTTCACAGTTTGGCTTTTCAGTAATAAAGATCACATACATTAAATTGTTTCTTTACCACTCAGTCACCGTTATTATTATGTTCAAGCTACAGACCACATTGCTTTCTTTGCAAAAATCATATGGCTTTGACCAGTGAAGAAATTCTAAGCCTAAACAAACCCAACTGTACTATTTGATAAAGAAGTCTTGGTTTTCAGCTCAGAATAGTTGGTGAGTTTTCTTTTTTTTTCTAAGGATAAGCCTTGCTTATTTCACTTAATTACATCCAGTCTTTCTGCATGGGAAGTGCTAACTTGTCCCTCCCTGGGCCCCAGCACATTAGATCTATTGATTACTGCCACTCTGTCCTGTACACGCGGTGATGTAATACTTTGGTGCCTGTAGGGTTGGATGGCAGCCTTTAAAATATTAATAGCTCTTCTCATCATGTAGGACTCACCCCGATCTCAGTGAATCTTTGATGACTGTTTTGTCAGCCTATCTTATCTTCCCCATCGCAGCACTGCGCAGCAGGAGAGCCAGGCACAGGCAGCGAGCTTAAATTGGGCCTGCCAGGCTGAAGGGCATGTCGGGAGCATGAACAGTGGCACTTTCCACAGTTATTTAGTTGTTCTGTGAAACTAAAGCATGTTCTGATACTCATTAGCTTCACGTACAAGTGATTTAGCTTATTACGTACCCATAGCAAATTCCCCAGATTTTGCCCCAAGAGCATGTGTCAGTCAAGGTGAGGCTCTTCCTACACCGTGCTGTCGTGTGGTTTAGACATGACCTCCCACAACTGCTTTTAGTGGTGAACTCATTCTGTCTCCATCCACGAAGAGCTACGTTAAAGAATACCCACCTAATCCTTCCCTGTGCCTTTACTGATTTTAGTCTCTTCTAACTTTCAATAAACTAACTTACTTCTCTGTGGTGTCCGGGCCCAACGAGTGAAATACACGAGGAGAGAAAAGAAGAGGGTTATGCCTTGGCCACTACATGAGTTACAAAGAAGTCTACCTTCAACCCAACAGCTATCATCCATAGCATGTTCAGCAGCTCCGCGGGGATGATAGGTTCATCTTCCAGTTAGCACTAACAAGCTCATGAGAGCGTAGAAGGTGACACAAACCTTAAGGGATGTGAAACGATTACATTGATTTTGCTCCTACAGAACATGTGAAAAGTTCAGTTTTGAAAAGACTCCCAATGGCAAAATTCCAAAGAAACTTAACAGAAATAACTCCCAGTACAGTCCTGACACAAAGGCCAAATTTTATTATCTTTCAGTCTTTTCTGTGAGGATGTACAGTTGCTCCCAAAAGTTTTCCACGTAGAAAACGTGCAAACAACCCCACCCCCAAATTAATACGGAGGGTATTTTTTTTCCCTAGCTTGTTTCTCAGAAACAGCAGAACCATTATAACTAATATAGTCCAAAATCCAACCTGAACCACTCATATTATAAACAAACCGACATAGGTTATGTAAAGTGGAAGTGTTTGCATCTAAGTGTAGAGTGGGATTATGACACTATTTTACATATCAACACAATTCATACTGCAAAGTCAATTGCATTCATCAGAATATTTCAGATACAGGACAAATTTAGAAAGTAAGTTCTGGTCCTTGTATTTTTCTTACAAGTACAGAAGGAGGCAGGGCTCCATGTATGCTGCGAGGTTATTAAAAATGTACCACATGCATAGGAGAGCTGAATTTATCCCTACATGGGTGCTTATAAATCCAACATTTGGTAGGGTCTCTATTCCCTGACTCTGCAAATAGAGTTTATTAAGCATTTTCCATTTAGCTGGTTTTGTTGCAAATTTTGTTCTTTAATGAAAGAAATATTTTCAGAGGTTTTTTTTTTTTTTTTTTTTTTTTTTTTTTTTTTTTTTTTTTTTAAAGAGCATAAATAAAATACAGGCTTAGCTTTAAAATATATCTGTAGACTTTATTTTAATCTTTTGCATCTTGAATTTTTACTGAGAATTTGCCTGTGATCAAGTGACATGATTAAGTTTAGAAAATTCACAAAAGCATAACTTTCCCAGGAGGGGCAAAAGTTGCAGCAAGAAAGCAATTTTTATGCATCAAAGTGTTTGTACTCATTCTGAAAGTAATTATGCTGTGACATTTCTAAAGCTTAAATAATGATTAAACTATCACATGCTATGAACTCAATATGTTTAAATTTTCATTGCATCTGGCTTTCAAGTGTTCCTTTCATATTACTATGGCTCACTAGGGGATTTACATAGCCAGCTAGAATCACATACATGGGATCCCCGCACCAGTTAGCCTAAACACTTCCATGCACTTTAACAAACTTATCCAAATCATAGAAAAAATTTTTTAGTAAAAAGTTTGGAGCACATGGTTTTAAGTTCACTAACTAGTGTATAGCAGTTTTCATTTTGTACCTCAACAAACAGTAATGAACAATTAAAACGTACATACATTTCAGTAAGGTAACTACAAAGTCATTTGAGAGAGACAGCCAGATTAAATTTTAAATAAGCCCACATTTCTCAAGCAAATGTAGGATAGACTTGTGGCTGCTCACTTGTAAATAACTAAGTCTAAACCAAGTGTACAAACTACAAGATGCATTTGAGATCAATCAGTGTGATCTCAAAAAAATGCAAGTTCCTTTTTCAGGATTTAGGGACTACAAGCAGTCCCATCTTGTCTGACAGGGGAAAGATGGATCGTTCTTCTCATTAACATTCTTGGGGTTTCAATCTGAAGGCAAAACCAAACCTTCTTAAAAGCCCACAGCTCACCCAGAAGAGAAGAAAGCAGTGGTTTGAGTACTTCTGTGTGCTGATGGCTCTTGAAAACCAACTACTGTTTCTTCCTGGCAAAAATTTAAGCTCTGCTGTGTTGGTAGAAGAAAGCGTTCATGCAAACTATTTTTCATTTGCTTTCAGAAGAGTTAAGGCAGCTGGAAATGCTCTGTTTTCAGTTAGGCACTGGAAATCACTAGTTAACTGCTAGAACAACTCAGTCTTGTCTGTTCCCCTAATGCTACATAATTAACTACCAATCTTCAATCTAAAATAAGCTAGAAAACAAACACTGTCAGCTTCATAAGATTTAGTTTAGCAGATACCAAGGATTTGTAGTATTGCTTTAAAAATTCATACTACATTTTGTTTCTGTTTGGGGGCATGGGGAAGATATAACTACCTGTTTTCCCCTATGTTTTTTCACCAACACATAAAAAAAAAAATCTATTTGCCTTGTGAAAGAATATTAGCATTGGATTATTCATAGTGGATAGTACCAACTTTTCACTGATTCAGTCAGTGCCACTTTCCTCCTGTATTAAATTAGTACAGATACGAGTACAAATTCAGGAAACTAAGTCAGAGCCATCATACTGCAAGAGATGCCCCTGTGGACTAATTTCAAAATACGGAGCAGCGTATAGTATTGAACTCTTTAATTTGCCTCCAGCCTGGTGGACACGTACTGCAGACAATGCCTTCCTCTTCCTCTTAACCTCGAGCAGAGCAGTGCGCAAGGCTCCCCATCTTCCTCGCCTTGGCTGCTGTAGCCTGGCTCAGTAAGGAGCTCAGAGGAAAGGGAGAGGGTGTGCGTCTTGCTTGGGCCACGGACAAAGTCCACTTAAGCTGGGGAAAGCTGCTGGAGCAGAGAGAAGACCAGGCAAGAAGAGAACAGAAGAGGATGAAGGACATGCCTACCTCAAGGAACCAACCCGCAATGAAACCTCAGGGGTGATGGAGAGCAGAGGACTTTTCTAGGAGTCAGAGAAGGGAAATAAGAGTTTCCTTTGCAGTCTGGAGACCCGGGTGCTGGCAGGCACGGCGGAGTTAGAGGAAAGGAGTCACCCACACAGGCAGTGAGGGGAGGGGCAGGCTTCCTGAGATGCCCTTTTAATTAGTTTGTATTATCCACCCCTCTTACTGGCAGTTATGTTGGCTATTACATGGCTGATATTTTTCTCTTTCAAAAACCTAATAGTTTAAGAGATTTGGAGCACCTGAGAGTACCTGGCACACTTACTTCAAGCAAAACAGGGAAGAGGAGCAGATGCTGTGCAGGACTCATCCCTACCCTGGGTCCCATCACTGAAGAGAGCAGCACTGAAGCCCACGTTTGCTGCCTTCCCGCCATACTGCATTTGACAAAATAAGCATAGCCTGGCATTACACCCAGCGGGCTGGTTCATGGCATTTAGTACATTGCATATGGCCATAAATGTAAACTGGTGAGTTATCGGCTCCACCACAAGCCATAGCAGAAGGAGAGCTTCCACAGCATCTGCCTGCTGCTGTGGGGCTCATTCTGCCACCTTCGCCTCCCGCTTCCCTGACTCCCCCCTTGACAGCAGCAGATTTTATTTCTTTGGAAGTAAAATCTTTTGCCTGTCATTTCTGCTCTCTTCAGACCACCCACCTCCTCTTCCTTCATCCATCATTCAGAGTAAAAAAAAAAAAACAAAAACACAAACCAACCAAGCAAAAAAAAAAAAAAAAATCACTACCTAAAACTTTAATTTTGGGTTTTTTTTTTTAAGTAAATTATTTTTGAACATGCAGAAATACTTTATATGGTTGTTTAAGAACAGCAGAATACTAGGGTATTTCTCAGTACCTGCATGTACTGTTGTAGCTTTACCAGTGGTTGCTTAGTCAACAAAAAAAAGTTACAAATACACATAAACTTCTAATTATTCTACTTCTTATGCATGAAGTGACAAGATATTTCAGACCAGTAAGCAAAAAAAAAGACCCCAAAAACCCAAAACACAAAACGAACAGGAATGGCCATACAGCAATAAAATTGCACCAGTATAATTATTTTACTGTATTTCTCTATTTAGGTCATCCCTTAGATTTCTTTTTTTTTTTTCAAACCACACTTTGCAGCATACTTTGC